ATCATGTTTACAATTATTTTCCAAAGTTTTACATTTTTCTGATTTTATTTGCTATTTTTAAAAGATATTTAAAAATCATATTTCTATTTCAAAACAGGCTGATAACCTGTTATCAGTCGACTGGTCAGTCGACTGAAGAAATCGCTTGGAACAATAAATAGTTTCTGTTTTGTTTTGGTCGACTAACCAGTGACTGATGAGGTCATCAGTCGACTGATAAGGTCATCAGTATACTGATGAGCTGAAAAATGCCTCTAACGGTCAGCTCATCAGTCGACTGATGAAAACCGTCAGTCGACTGATGGCATCATAACGACTAGTTTTCCAAAAATTTTAGTTTTCGTTATTTTGTATTTTTGTGATGTTTTCTCTTGGTTTTTGGGGTTGTTTCATGAGCCTATATATACCCCTTGACCTCTAATATTCTGAGGTAATCAAGAAAGTTTTTAAACAAGTTTAAAGAGTGTTTAAGTTTGTTTAGTGTTTGTTTTTCAAGAGTTTAGTTTGTGAAGAAATTTTCACAAGAGCAAAGAGGAGACCATCCTTTGGTGTTTGAGCTTCAACACATCTCTCTCTCACTCTTGTTATTTATTGGAGAAGTTTTCTAAACTCAATCTAGTTTTACATTTATATTGTTTGATATTAATTCATTAAGCTAGTGTTTATATTGAGTTTAGTTGATTTTATTTACTCATTGTTTACACACACAACCATTGAGCTTATTGTATTTTCATACATTGTATAATTTGGGTTGTGGGGTTTGTGTGACATTGAGTGTGAGCTTACATTGTGTTCTCATCCATTGTAGAGAACAATTTATTTGTTGAGTGCCTAAATTGTGAGATTCACTTTGTATTATACTAGTACACTAAGAGGAGTGTGTGGTAAGAGACAGAGTCGTCCCAAGAGGAGTGGGGTAGGTGATAATGCCTAGAGAGAGATTGTAATTCCTAACACTTGAGGGAGCCACGGGCTAGAGACCAACACTTGAGGTGGTAGTTAGTGTGTTTACATTTTGAGTGATTGTAAAGTTTTCGGTGAGCTAGAAAACTGAGTTGTGAGGTGTAAAACGTTATTCGGATGAGCGATGAAAACCCAGTTGTGTAGTGGATTTCTCCCCGGGAGTGGGGAGCGGAGACGTAGGACGGAAGGTCCGAACTCCGTGATCATTTGATTGTGTTTGAGTTTGCATTGGCGTTCATTTATACTTGTGCTCATTGCTCATATCGCCATTGTCTCATTATTAGTTTGTCCACTATATTGTTTACCCTATTTGTTTACCCTTGTTTATATTGCTTATCCTTGCATATATCTCATTACATATCTTATTTGCTAGGATATTTATTAATAAGTTTTTAATTGACATTAAATCGGATTAGATTAGCATAAACCCTATTCACCCCCCCTCCCTCTAGGGTTCTTTCCTAGTGGCATTAGGTTACTTTCAATTTGTTCCTGAATCAAACACCCTCATTGCCTCTGAACTACCTTATTTCACACAAGCTTCAAAAGACTTAACTTAAAATGCAATGACAGATGAATTTAATGCCCTCATCAATAATTACGCATGGCAATTGGTTCTATTTGATGAATGGAAAATTTTGGTTGGTTGTAAGTGGGTGTACAAGATTAAATATAATCTAGATGGTTCTATTGAGCGGTACAAAGCTTGTTTGGTTGCTCAGTGTTTTCATTAGTAAGCTGGTATTGATTTTTATGAAACTTTCCGTCATGTTGTCATACCTACTACTATTCGTCTTGTGCTATCCTTTGCTATTTATTTGGTTGGGTTATCCATCAACTCGATGTTAAGCAAGCTTTTCTGCATGGTCTTCTTACTAAGGAGGTGTACATGAAACACCACAATAGTTTTGTTCATCCATAGTTCCTAAATCATGTTTGTAAACTTAATAGGACTATCTATTGCCTCAAACAGGCTCCTCATGCTTGGTTTCATTGCTTTAGCAGTTTTCTTCTCTCTCTTAGTCTCCATTGTAGCAAAATTGATTCTTCCATGTTTGTTCATCGTCGAGATTCTGATATTATTCTTCTTCTATATGTTGATGACATTGTCCTTATAAGAAACTCCTCTACTCTTCTTCATCGCTTTATGAGCTTATTATCTAATAAATTTTCTATGAATGACCTTGGTGATATTAACTATTTTTTTGGGCATTCATGTCAGTCTCACCCTGATATTCTATTTTTATCTCAAGATAAATATGTTCAGAACCTCTTACGTAAATTTCATCTTTATACCCTTACTCCCTTGCATATGTTGATTGGCGCTAAAACTAATTTATCTCTTACTGATGGTGAGTTATAAGAAGATCCCACTAGATATAAGAGTATGGTCCGTGCTTTATAATATCTTACAATTACAATGCCTGATATTGCCTTTGTTATTCATATTGTTTCTCAGTTTATGCATGCTCCTCGTACTACTCATCTCCTTGCTATATATCAAAATAATCTGTAGGTACTTGTAGCGCACAGCTGATCATGGTCTCACCCATCGCAAGGCCATTGGATCAACCATTGTGGTTGCCTATTCTGATGTTGATTGGGCTAGTTGTCCTGACAGGTCACGCTTCACCTCCGGTTATGCCATCTTTTTTTGCCCTAGCCTCAATTCTTGGTGCACCAAGAAGCAACCTATCGTGTCGAAATCCTCGACGGAGGCTGAATATCACGCCCTTGCGTACACAGCGACTGATACACTATGGATTCGGCACATCTTAGTAGAGATATGTTCCTACATAGCTTCAGCTTGCAGATATTTTTACTAAGAGATTATCTGCTCAACGCTTTCTTTGTTTGAAAGACCAATTTATCAGTGTGTATTCCACCCCATCTAGAATTTTTTTCGGGGAAGGGGGGGGGGTGGGTAATAGTGCACCTGTATTTAAACTGTAAATATATCATTGTCATAGAGGGTCTATATATAAAAAATGTACTATATCTTCATATGCATACAGATATCGGCTTGCTTACTAGGGCTATGTTGAGCCATGTTTAAGCCCATTTCTCTTATTCTCTCTCAATGTTTTCACACATAGTATTTCAATCACAAATAACTAATATATAAAAATTCTTTAAGATAGTATATTTCTTACTATGAGATAACTAATTTTTATATATTAATCATTTTATTAATTGTAATATATTATTATATGAAATTAATTAATTAATCATAATAATTAATAATCACAAGTAATGTAACAATAAAAGTATTTTAATCGAATATATTTCTTATTATGAAATAAATAATTTTTAATTAATTATTTATTTATTTTAATATGAACTTAATAAATTAATCTCAATACTAGTAATTAACAATAAAACATAATGTAATATATAAAATATTTTAAATATATTTCTTCTTATGAGATAACTACTTTTTAATTAATTAATTAATTAATTTTATTAATAATAATATTTCATTATAATACGAAATAAATTAATTATTCTCAATATTATTTATCAATAGTCATAATTAAATTTAGATAATTAATTTTAAATTAATTACTTTTTAAAATAATTAATAAATTTAATATCATTAATTATCTAGTTAATAAAAGGAATTAATTAGTCATAATATGGAGTTATAACAATATGTCCTTTTTGATCATTTAACATTTAACATAATTTATTGACCAAAACATTTATCACAACTTTATAAGTTAATTGGAGTTATAATAATATGTATTTTTAGGTCATTCAACATTTAGCACAACCTTATAAGTTATAGGTTGTCGAACACATAATTATTTATATGTCCTTACAAGATAAGGGGTTTATCAAACAATTTCTTTATTTTCTTACATACTTCTAAAGAGTTTTGAGAATAAGTAACAAGTAACTTATAAGTAATCAAAAAATAAATAGTAGCCAACATGCTCTTAGTCATGTATTACAACGATTCTTCATGAATCATATAATAGTGTCAAATTCATCATGGATTCAAGTTGTTGCATAATACGCTGGTTCACTCATGCAAGTTCAAATTTTACATTTGTTCATTATATAGAAGCACAATGAAAGAAATAGTGATACCATTCAAAATAAGCTGTTTAATATAATAAAAAAACTATAATTTGGGCGGATAGTTTTTCTTGGTTTGGCGAGGGAACTTCTTCACGATTATTTGGTATTCTAGGAAATAAATTCTTGTAGGTGCTCTCCAGGAGAGTCAAACCTAGGACCCTAGAGTACTACTCACACGCAGCTTATCAGTTAAGCTAAACCCTCTTTAGTAGCAGGTATTGCGCTCATAACTTAGCTCACTTTATTTGCAGATATAAATGTACATTCTTTTGTGATTTCTGTGGTGGTCCAAACTATGTATTTACTCAAATTCTTCTTAAAGCAAATAGAATCGTTTAATTCCTGTATTGTAAAAAGAAAGTCCAAACAACATTTGAGGTCTAGAAAACAAGACAGCGTGACGCGAAGGCCCATAAACGGCCCAAGCCGTAGTTAGACAGCGGCGGAGATTAGCCTGGTACGGATCAGCAACAAAATGAAAAGTCACGTTAGAAAGAAAAATAATATTATACTTCGGGTAAGGGGCACTTTGGTTCCCTGTTTTTTTAGGAAACTCTTTTGAAAACCTATTAAAAATGTTAAAAGTATCACTTTTTGGCAGACTTTCAAACAAAATCATCTTTTTTAGAGATGATTTTGTTTGAAAACCTGTCAAGAAGTGACACTTTGACAGACTTTCGAGAGAAAAAATTTCTAACCAAACAGGCCCTAAATATCAGAGCAACCGTAACTTTGGATGATTGGGGAAAACCACCTCTTAACTTTCAAAACATCAGAAAACCTCGTTCAATGTAGAGATTATTACAAAATCCTACCTTAACTTTCAGATTCTATCGGGTAAAGCCTAAACTTAAAGTGGGTGTTCTGGTATTTTGGAAGTTAAGGGGGCTTTCCTGTTAATCGTCTAAAGTTAAAAAAGTGGAGTTTTATAATATTCAGCCTTATTTTTATTTTTATGTAATAATAATAGAGAAGAGAAATTAGAGCACCAGTCTCTGTTGCTTTCTACTGGAGATTTTATCGCCTCTATCTAATCTAAATAAACAAAAAAAAGGAGGCATTTTTTTTTTCCTTTCAAGATCAAAATCAGCGTTTTTCGAGGTAACTACGAAATTTCTCTTATTTGGTTTTGTTTTTCCATTAGGGTTTCTGCTTACTCTTCTCCTTTTGTTCGATATTTTAACGATTTATTTGAGAAAAAGTGTATAAACTTTCTAGCTTCTGTTTGATCTTCCGACTCTTTTGTCGATTCGTATTTAAATGAAAACCCTAGACCTTTTTCCCTTTTTCAATTGATTGCCCTAAACCTCGTCGTAAGATTTCTCCAATTTACGCAATTATTTTTCATTGTTATGCCTGGCTTTATTATTTGAATTTTGCCCTTATTTGCTGTACTTTTCGAGTGGGATTGAAGAGTGGGATTTGGTATTAATTTCTTAGCAAAAAAAATGCCATTGTTTAATGGATCCTAGGGTTTCTTTGCTACTTGAAAAATCATCAAACTCTTACGATTGGGTAACTCACTAAAGTCGTGCCCTTTTCTTCCTCTCTTGCGATTTCTTGCTTGTAATGATTGATCAGAGGAGTAGATTGTGCTTATATAAACAAAAACTAAATCCTTTCCCCAAAACTATATTGTGAGGTCGAATAAGATGTTGAATTTTTAAGCATATGATGTCTGGTCTGACCATTATAAATTGATGGTAGCGGAAACATAATCAATCTTCCCATCTGTATATAGAGTTAAGATGAGTGAGTTCTAGAAAAGCATAATTTTTCCGAGTCATTAGTTTCTCATGAATATTCAGACAAACAGTTAGATATGTGCGTGGGCATACATCTATTTCTGTGTTTTCTATGTTTGTTATCCACCATGACTTGCTATTGTAGTTATAAGATTGCTGCATTTGGTTCTTGTTGTCGACTTGTCTTAGGATTTGACAAATCAGTCAAATAGATCATCTAACGTGTTTTTACAATCCTAATCCATTTCCTTTTACATTGTTTTTTTTTGGCATCACTGTACATGAATAGCTCTGCTATGATCGTTAGCGCCGTCTAGGGGGGAAAACAGTTCTTGCTACTTGATATTTTGCAAGTATTTATTTGAAGGTTTTGTCGTTTAGTTGTTTTGGTGGGAAGTTGTTGCACAATTTCATGGCGATTGAATCAGAAATCGTGAACGTGTAACAAGACAGCGAATTGCGATCCAGGTTTGGTTGTCTGAGATTCGTGTGGAACACGACCAAATTTACCATCTCTAGCAACCCAATTTAGAATTCAAACCAGTTAACATTTTGTTGGGAAAAAACTCTTTTTTAAAAGAATAAACAAAAATGTGAGAAATTAAGCAAATAAAGTATGCATTAGTTGCAACATGATTCTCAAGCTTCTTTTACCATCACTGATATCAACTAGCATCTTGCTTAAATTTGAGCCTCGAAAAACCTCTTATTCCTACTTTTTAAGAACTGAACCTAAAGCGTATCACGTTGCCTAGCATACCTTATACGCCTACCCCCCTCATAGCCGATTCCTAATGAGTGGCGTTCCACAAAATCCCGTACCCCTCCCATGAACCGGAACGAATCGGGTTCCTTGCAACTATGGATTGAGTTTCTTGAGTTGTTTCCATGGATTACACCATAGTTGTAGTCTTGTAGAAATCTAATGTAAACACTACATGATGGTACTAATTAGAATTTTACTTTCACCTATTTACACGGTTGTTGCCATTTTCTTCCCTTCACAAGGGCATCTTTTTTCATTCCTTTTGACTACTATCTGGAATTTAAAAAGGATATAATTTACAACTCAAACTCCACACCCCCCCCCCCCCCCCCGAGTGGGAACCACTTCACTTCATTTATTTCACTAAAACCCTCCTAAATTTTCAATTTTTCCCCACAGTCCCCCTACGACTCTTATCTGTAAATTGACAAATAATCAAAATGTGTTTGCAATATAAAAAAACCAATTGTGTTGCGTGGGTGGGTTTTTTTTTGGGTGGGGGGGGGGGGGAGGGTTGTGGGTTGCCTGTAAATGGCGAATGATTAAATAATGTAAATTGGATGTTTTTCTCTCACGAAGATTTTAGTTATTTGCCATTTCAAGGTAGGTGTACGTTGGGTAACGTTGAGTTTTTTGTGGGCGTGGGTTTTAACGCAATAAAAAAAGTTGAGGGGTGGGTTTGCCAAAGTTCAGTGGGGTTTTGTGAAATTTACCCGTTTATATCATGTAAACATATAAAGTGTTTCTTCTCCTTTTCTACAAATACTCATGTTGCTGTTTATGACTACATTTTGCAAGTAGTAAACAAATGATTCTTAATACTGCATTTTGCTCTATCAGGACAAGATAGATTCTTTTGTTACCACTGGCACTAACATTCTGACTTATTTTGGAAAGGCAGGTTATCTCATCCGGTCCTCATTACTAATGGGTGATCCAGAAAATGCTGCATCAAAGAAGAGGGTTGCTGGGAGACAAATTTCAAAGGAAAACCCCGAGCTCGATGATGATGGTCCTGAACCAGAAATGGGGACTTTCCAGAGAGCCAGTGATGAAGTATTAGCAACCAGGAAAATTGTTAAAGTTCGACGCTCTCAACCTGCACCAGCTTCTTCCAATCCTTTTGCTGCTCTTCGATTGGTTCCACCATCCGATGCCATTACCAATGCTGCTGATGCTACTGCTAAGCCTGAGATTGCTAGTGATAAGACGGAAGTAAAAGATGGTGCTGATGAACAACAAGGAAAAAGTGAAGAGAGTACAGGAACTGAAATCAGAACTTCAGTTGACGAATCAAAAGGAACAGAGGATAATGACAAGAGAGTTGAAGAGAAAACTGATACATCATCTGTGAAGGTTGATAGCAATGTGGATTCTGAAAAAGATGTAAGAAATGGAGAAGTGAATAATGAGAAAGCCGAAGAAGGAGAAGCTAAGGATGATGAAGATGAAACTGGAAAGATACCCAATGAAAAGGAAACCGAAACTGACAAGGCTAGGAAAGAAACACCAGAAGAAGATAACAAAGATGGAGATTCAGCCAAGCCAGCTGCATCTTTTAGTTCGTTTCAACAGTTATCTAGCAGCCAAAATGCCTTCACAGGGCTCACGGGTACTGGATTTGGAACCTCTTCATTTTCATTTGGTTCGGTATCCAAAGAGGGACCAACTTTTGGTGCAAGTTCTGGGTCCTTTCCTTCTTTTGGGACTGGGGTCTCCAACAATGGAAGTTTTTCATTTCAACAGTCTGCTTCAAATGTTGTTAAGAGTGAGATACCAGCAATGAAGGAGGTGCCCATTGAAACCGGTGAAGAGAATGAGAAGGCGGTATTTACTTCCGATGCTATATTGTATGAGTATTTGGATGGAGGATGGAAAGAGAGAGGAAAGGGTGAACTCAAACTGAATGTTTCTATGTCTGATTCGGAGAAAGCAAGGGTTATTATGAGGGCTAGGGGAAACTATAGGCTGATATTAAATGCAAGTCTTTACCCAGATATGACACTTGCTAATATGGACAAAAAAGGTATCACTTTTGCTTGCGTCCACAGCGCTGGAGAAGGGAAGGATGGGCTTTCTACATTTGCCCTCAAATTCAAGGATAGTTGTCTCAAGGAGGAGTTTCAAGGAGTTGTAGAAGCTCACAAAGGAAAGAAGGCTGCAGTACTGAAGACACCTGAGAATTCTCCCAAGGCGTCCGATGACTAAAATGGAACATATTCTTCCTGTGGTAACTTTTTTCCTTTTCATTCCATTGTCTTGTTTGTGATGTCTCATTTATTTTTTAGGTTTAGTCTTACGGGTTACATGGAACTTGTCTGTTACTGAGTCAGTCTTAGCTCGTAGATCATAGTAATTTATTGTTCAATATTTGAGAGAGGGCTAAGTACAATTCCTGTTGTGATCTTGTGTTGTATTGCCCATCATTTTGTTTTTGCGGATTATCTAATACTATATGCTGTGTCGAATTTCAAGAGGAACCAATAGGAACATCACAAGGTATTGTGTATGAAATAGAAACTTCTCGTGCATGTTTGAAATGTTATTATTTTTCTAAGTATGGTTTGTGGTAAGTTGATTATTAGCTAGAGTTTCTTTAATGGCATTGTGAGTGGTGTTCTTATAGCATTATTTCTGGATACAATGCTATTTTCTATGTATGAGTGTTTAAGAATCTGATTGATTCACCATATGCTTACATGAGTAGGGGAAAGAGCCGAAGACATTCGAAAAGCATACAGCTGTTTTTGGTGTTTAGACGAAGCTTATAAATAGCTGGTGTAAATTGAAATTTTCAGGAAATTGACAAAACTATCTCACTCCTTTGGGTGCCTGTACTTTTCTCCTGCATCTTATCTAAGGTCTTTCATCCTCATCTTTTTACAGGTGAAAATGATAAGTGTTACTATCTTGCTTGTTCTTCATGAAATCCTTGTTGGTTTACATTATGTGCAGAAGATCTCTTAAGACCTAGTTCTGTATACTTTATCCCGCAATAGAGTAAAACGTGACGTTGCTGTGTTGCTTCCCAGTGCTGGCAGGCTAATTGTTGACTGCCACACATCCAAGCCATTATGTATGATTGGATAGTTGATGATGTGATGTTGATTTGGGATGTATAGCGTGGATGTGTATCACGTCAACGACACACTTGCCGATACGGTAGAAGCACCCACCAGCCCTGTTTCTTCTACCCACCAGCCCTGTTTATTCCTGGTAACATGAACTTAGTTACCCGAACTTAGTTACCCGTGAGGGTCGTATATATTGCATGGGCTCACTGATTACATGACACTAAGAGCAGGGATTATCAAGCTCTACTGTTGTCTTCTGTAGAGTTCTACAGTGAGGTATTCACTGATATGTCCTGTGAACTTGTTAGTAGTGCATATTCAGATTGATTTGTCATCAGATTAATGGCAAGTTTTAATCTGAATGTGCTTTATTTGAATTTTAGGATTAATATAAGAGGGTCAATATTTCTGCTGTTATTTCTGTCATGCCTGCTATAATGGGCCGATGTAGAGGTTTTACATATTTTTATGTGCTTTTCTCTTCTCAAGTCAAGTTCCAATTACATATGCTGTCAAACTTTTGGTAACTCTTTAAGAAACAATAATATGTGAAAATTGGCTTTAGCAATTCATATGCTAAAGGTATATATTTAATGATCCCTTTTTTTATTAATTTCTAATTTGAGAAAGTTATCAATTGGAAAGACCATAGAGGTCATATTTTCAATCATATTATTCACAAATACAGGTTTTTGTATGATGTTTTGAGTTCATTTATGTGTCAATTTATGTAGAGCTCATTACCTACTAGTCAAGTTAGTAAATTATGCAATGCAAATTACTTATTTTAGAGGAAAGATCCTAATTGGGTGGGTATTATTGGAGTATTATTATTATTGGCTAAAATGCTCTCTCCATTACTAAGTTAATGGTAGGAAAGAATGAAAATTAGTTACGATGCTGTTGACTGATATGTTGCGGAAATTATCGCCAAAAAAATGCTTAGGAATTGGATATCATCTCTCATTTAAAATAATTAGAGTAATTTTTAGAATATTACGATGAATTAGCAAACGGTAAACATCATAAACTGTTTTTATTTATTAACTATTTTAATTGGCAAACATTATTATAAGTTAGCACGTGATACATGTGAAAGCACCCTAGAGGGGGGATGAATAGGGTTTTTGCTAATCTAATCCGATTTAATGCCAATAAAAACTAATTAACAAATATCCTAGCAAATATGATATGCAATAAGATATATATGTAAGGATATGAAACTAACACAAAGGTGAAACAAGATATAAACATTATAATAGACGAAATAAACAATGAGAGGATGACAATAAAGATGAACAAAAATATAAGTGCACCAAACCAAACTCAAACAAGCAATATGATCACGGAGTTCGGACCTTCCGTCCTACGTCTCTGCTCCCCACTCTCATGGAGAATCCACTACACAACCAGGTTTTCGACGCTCACCCGAATAACGTTTATACCCCACACTCGGTTTTCTAGCTCACTGAAAACTTTACAATCCACACTCTTGAAATCACACTCTACACCCTCTAAATGTTGGTTTCTAGCCGTGTTTCCCTCAAGTGCTAGGAATTACGACCTACCTTTAGGCTTTACTACCGACGCGACTCCTCTTGGGACAACCTCGTCTCTTACCACACACTCCTCTCGGTATACAAGTGTATTACAAAGTGATCTCACAATTAATCTCTCAATACAATAAATTTGTTCTCTATAATGGATGAGAACACAATGTGGGTTCACTCTCTAAGTCACACTATCCCACAACCTAATTATACAATGTATGCAAATACAATAAGCTCAATAGGTTGTGTGTGAACAAAGAGTATAAATGAAATCTAACTCATAAATAAACTAGCAATAATATATATATATATATATATATATATATATATATATAAAATTCAAGAATAAAAATGCTAGATAATTGAGTTAGGAAAACTTCTCTATAGATCAAGAGAATTTCTAGGGTTATTTCTTAACTTTTTCGTATGAATAAAAATGCTAGATAATTGAGTTAGGAAAACTTCTCTATAGATCAAGAGAATTTCTTTTAGTTCGTTTCAACAGCTTATTTCTAGGGTTATTTCTTAATCTTTCATACTAGCGTGACATTTGAACATGATACTTTAACTTAGCATTCTACTAACTACCTTGTCACTGGAAAACTTCACAAATTGGAAAGAAAATTGCTTATCAATGAAATTGACCAACTTCAACAGTTTTTTTTTTTTTAAATCTTGATCAAATATCACCGATAGAACTATAATAATTTATGGATATAATTTTATAGTGATAGTCAATTATAACTAAAACTAAAATAAAATATCAACCAGTCAATTAGAGTTGTTACACCTGGGTGGGGCTTTTTATTAGCCCCTAATGAAGCGTTACGTCTATTTCCTTACGTGTATGTTACCCACAACTAATTACTTTGAGAGAAACTTTTAACCTGGCAATGAGCTCAATGATTGCTGCGTTTTACGCTGAACAAAATAGTACTACTGTCCCCATGCAATCCAAATTAAGATCCGAAACCATGGTGGTTTTCTCACATGAGCAAAATCAAGACAGTGCAGATGTGCCGTGCGTGTCAGAGACATTCAGTACATCATCGACGTCAACCTAAACTGCCTTGTGCACTGCATCATCCCTTTCTCTTCTTCGTATTAAAAATCAAGCAAAAAGAAATGAAAAAAGAAAACCAGAAAAACATAGAAAATGATTGTAATTGGAAAAAGCCAACTCATGCTTCTTATTGACTCTGAGGATTACCGTTGCTATCGCCATTGAATTCCCATAAATGGTTTTAGGCGCATTAATGAATGGGGCCATGTTTGGGTAGATATACTTTGTGATTAGGTTTGTGGGACCCATTCGTAGGTCAGCGTTTCCGGCTCAGTGGTTCATTTTGTAAAAACCTAAGTTTGGGAGAATACTAAGGATAAATAGGTTGTGTGACCCATTTTTATATTTTCAAGCCTATTTCATAACTTTTTGGGATGAAATGGATTTTCTTTAATTTAGGACCCATGGCACTAGGGGTGCCAAACGGTTCGGTTTTATTTGAACTGCTCCGCATCCGTACCCGAACGGATGCGGATATGATAAGCTATTTTTAAAATCGGGTGGATATAGTTTCGGATACGGATCTGGATCTGGTTTCTATTTTTTTCAGGATACGAATCCAGATACGGATATGAGTGTAAGATTCGGTTACGGATACGGATATCCGCAATTCAATTAATACAAGAATTCAGGTCTATTTATATATCCAAACCTGTAACAGCTAACAACCCAAAACCCAAGTTAAAAAACCTAGCTTTACCAAATCCATTCCTCAATTCCCACATTCTCAACTCCACTTTCACAGTTCCGCTCAACCTTCGTCACCCCCTCACTCGGGTCGCTGCCGCTCTCCGTCCATCTCCGACAGCCACCTCCCTCCGCTATTGCCTCCCTCCACTGCCATCTCCGCTCGACATATATTTATGTATTTTGTTAAAAAATACGTAAATATATGTCATATATATCGTGTTTTCATTAGGGTGCAAATGGATCAGGTACGGTTCAAATATGACACTTATCATATTCGTATCTTCTTTCTAAAAATAGATGTGAATGCCGTTTTCCTTCATTAAAAACATAGATAATCATATTTGCAAAACATAAAAATGGATGCAATACAATATAATTTTGGATATGAATCAGATACTTAGCAAGCATATATGCATTGAGTATAAAAGAAGATCTGTATATTAATTTCTTTATTACGCACCATAGAGATAAAACATGAATTAAAAATTGCAATATACTGTCAACTATCAATTTTTAAAAGTAATGTGCAATATCTAATATAAGTAAGATAATTCAACTCTCAAATGGTCATAGTCGAGGTGCATTACTCAAAGATAGTTTTCATAATCACCATTAATAAAATGAATCAAATTATAGTATAAAATAACTCTGGCCATAAATAAGTTCAAAATACACAATTGATTATCTTAATAAAAGCACAATTCAATACCCCAAAAACAAATGACCACATTCCAAAACATAAGCAATGTTATCAAGAAAACAATATCAACATCCATATTCGAATTCAACTCCATGTTATATCTGGGACCAAATATGAATCCTTGGCTTACCCGAATTCATATCTATATCTATATCCAAGTCTACACCGTAATCCATATTTGAATTCACATATTCGTATCCTTATCTAAAATTTAACTAATATATACATCCTGAAAAAATTCGAAATTATATCTCTATCCATATCCAACCGGTTCAAATATTAATCATCATATCCACGCCTATTTTGGATACAGTCAGGGAGCAGATAAGATATATTCGAACTGTTTGCACCCTGGTTTTCATTCCTTTCCGTGATTTTCTGTAAATTTGATATTTTCGCAGTGGAATGTGACGACGTGTGGTGAGGTCTGACGACAAAGGTGTCTGATCCGGCCGTTATCCTTCATCTATTTAATATTAAGCAGTGCATCACACGAAATGGAGATGACATCTCATATATGAAACGGATTTTCTATTTTGGGTGCCTATAACAACACTTTTTCTATAAATATGTCACTATTTCACGATTATCAAATTGATAATTAAGAAGTGGTTCACGGGACATCTACTTAAAAGAACTATAAATGGATGCACAAAACAGAAAGTGGAGCCACAGTGAGTCATCATTTTCTTGTTATAATTGAAAAAAAAAACCCCACATATTTGTAAACGATAGTACAAAATTAGAATATGAATTTTAGAATGCATTTTCCTCCTTGGATTGTATTTCTCGAAACTAGCTCCTCATCCGATAGAGATTGTCTTAGATTCGTTTTTTTCTTTTTCTTTTTCTTTTTCTTTTAACCTTGTTGAACCTCGTGAATGTGATGTTTTCGGATAAATATTTGTTCAATCCCGATTTGAATGTGGGGGGAATATATTATTTTCATGTACTACGCTCCTTATTATCCCGGGGTCACATAATAAGAAATATCCATGAGATAAAAAATGGAGAAATTAAAGAGCCCTCACTAATTAATCATCACATAAGCATTGTGAAAAGTAATTAGTAATTATCAACAGTCATTTCTCGGATACTCTTAATCCCTCCAAATATTTCTTATGATTTTGAGTAAATTTGTTTATCGTGAATGGATCAGAGAAAGGGATAAGGAGGGCGCCATATGATCACTGTGAATCTGTGAATTTCCGATGTTTTCCTCATTAATATTTTACGATACACCATTATAATAGAAGTGACATGTGTCTACGCTTATTTTATGACATATATAAAAGTGTCATGTTATATGCAAAGGATTAAACAACAGTGACATAAAGAAAAAGTATGACAAATCATGATACATATTTGTGTTATTAGATATAAAATAAAATAAATTTAAAAAAGGCTAACGGTCCCACATTAGTTGTGTGAGGATCTATTGATAGGTTTAAATAATAAATACTAGTATATTGATGATTAAACATATATGACGGTGTATAAGCCAAACAAATCTGAAGTTATGAAGTGTGCTTTGTGACACATGTATGTTCACTGCTCTCTACACATATACATGTATATGTGTCGTAATTTTTATGACACGTGTATATATCATAAGTTTTGTGGCAAATTCTTACATGTGTAGAAAGACGCTCTCCACTTATGCTCTACCCACACTTTTGGCATGTGTCACGCTTCGTTTGTGTGACCAAACATGTGTTGCATCGAGACAAGAAATTTATCATAAAAATTTACAACTTTCGTTGTAGTGCACGTTTTAATCGATTCTTAATGGTTTAATGCAAAATTTCAGTTTGAAAAATTCTCTAATTAATATTAAAAGTCATAATATAAAGGACGGTTGTAATGAGAATCGTACACGGCTCGGTACAAAATTATTGGCTTATTTTGAACGAAAATGATGACTTATCAATTATGTTAGGAAACAAGGAAAGCAATTGCTTTCAGCTTATCCCATACGTAAGACGTTCTCGAAAAGCTAGCCTAAGAGATGATGGATCTATGTATATAATCTCATGCGTTCGCCTGTCTTTCTCGTTGCCATCGAGTCTTGAAGTCGAGCTATCTTGAAATCTTCATAAATAGCAA